CCAGTACTGGGAAATCTCAAAGAGCTAAAAGTTGGACTCGTAGAGGCTTCTGAGGCAGTCCCCTCGGTAAATCCACCACTGTTCAGTATTTCGTGACATCTGTCCCTTACTTTGCCTCTCGAGTTCCGAATCTGCTGCTCACTCAGCCTTTGTGCTGAACTAACCTCTCAGCCTGGGTTCTCCGGCGCAGCTGTGATGCGGCAGCCACACCCACGAGCAGGGTGCAGAGCGGAGTCGGCCGTGAGAGCAGCGGCTCGCGGACTCAGAACACACGGTGCTTCTTGGCCCCACCTGTCGTAGTAAGCACTTTCAGAAAGTTCATGAGGTAGATTTACTTTTTTTAAAAAAACTGATTTGTTTCTTTTCCAGCATTGCCATTTTTGAAAAATACAGTAATTCTTCTTTATCCATTTGCGCCTCTCATCCTGCTCTACGGCCTGTCCCTGGCACTAGGATGGAATTTCACCCACACACTGTGCTCCTTCTACAAGTACAGAGTAAAGTGAAGGCACTGGGAGACTATGCCGTCTTACCTGTGCCATAGGCAGAGTTGGCGAGGGGATGATTTCTTCTGAAACTTGTAAATAAACTTTGTAGATCTCTTCAGGGTGTAAAGTTCGCAAATTTGAGTAAGTATATAATGTTAACGCTATTGTCAAATATTACATTCCTTAAAACTACTAAAAGGTACATTTCTATAATAAATATTTTTTAAAGAAAAATCATTTGGAGAACTTGATAATCAGTTCCTGACAAGGTTCATAGTCTGGCCTCATTTCTAATGGGCTGTATTTTCAACATTTGCCTAGTACAACCTTCACAAGCCTCCCTGACCTTTAATGTAACTCAAAGACGAATCACTACACTACAGACCATAAGATCATTGGCAGGCATTTCCTTTGTATAGAAAAATGTAAAACAAAATATCTTCAGTTGAACAGGCTACTGCCATGGGCATAATAGACAAGTGAACACTTGCATAACACTGGTCATCCCTGTCTCAACATGAAGGCTCTTTTTCTTTCTTTGAAGACCTCTCCAAAACCCACATAACTAGAAATAGTTGTAAATAAACTTTATCAGTGTTGAAGCTAATAATAACAAAACTTGCTACTCATTAACAAAACTTGCTACTCATTAAGTTTTACCTATTTTTATTAGAAGGAATCTTGAATTCAACATGGCTTCTTAAACATCTTTATTCCAAACACATGAACGGTTGTGGCACAGAGAAACAGTAATGAAAGGCACAGTCAACAGGACCAGTTAATAGCTTTTCAATTATAGCAGCAAATTTGGAAATAATCTTCCTTTAAAAATCTTAACAGGTACCTAAAATACTACTACAGATATTACCCATTCACCCAATGAAAACATTTTAAGGAAAATATGTACAATACATTTAAGGAGAAAAAAAAATCTGGTACAGCCTGGAAAAGCAATTCCTCAGGCACCTTCTCTAAGGGGTGCTTCCAGAAACATCTATGACCTTTCCAAACAGTGTTTTTGATGAGAAACACATTAGTTTTTCATTTCATAAATGAAACAAAATTGTTACGTTCAGTCAGCTGATTTCTAAATCTTAGAAAACATCACTGTCTTTACTGAAATGAAAAGTATCAAAGCTGCTGGCAGTGCATCTTACAGTACTGTCAATATCAGCCATTTTTAAGGCTCAGAGAATAGGTCTTCTAAAGGTATTTTCACCCAATTTCAGCAAACCGAGCATTTCAAATAATGGAAGGCTCTTCACTCTAAAGTACCGAACCTTTGACTCCGGAGGGATTTGCTAATTACTAATACCAAGAAACAACTAGGAGCAAGTGATATATAAAGTAGCCTCCCTAATGTTCAAGAGTATCATTAAATATTCCCCACAACAAACAACCCTTATTTGGAAAACAATTTTAGCACCACTATTCACATTTTTACAGCAGTGTGAACACTAGGAATGATACTTTGCACAAAGTGCTTTCAATACCCAGCTTACTTTCTTGAACGTCTTCTGAATTCTTCACACACACATACACACACACACACACACACAAACACACACACAAAGTGCCAGCTCTTTCCCATTTGTTTCCTTGAACATGATCTAATTAGTGCCCAAAAAAGGTGGAGTGTTTCAGGCAAGAAGAGTTTACATATAGGTACTGGTGATAGGGATATATATAACAAATCCTTTTTTTTTTTTTTTTTAAATACTGTTGTCTTTTTAGCATTGTGTGTTCACATGCATTAAAGAAATAAAGCATTCTAGTTATGGCATCTATCAAGATTAATAATTAAAATTGTACAGCTATCAAATTTAACACACTATAATGCTACACAGCTTGGAAAAGTTTCTTTTTCTATAAAAGAAAGCTGGGATATCTGGGTTCCTCTAGAACACAAAGATTATTAGGACTCCAATTTCTGACTTTCTGACCGTCTTAGCCTCTCATTTTCTTCCCTTTAGCTCTGTTGTTCTTCTATCAAGGGTATGGTGATATAGTAAAAATAAGCACAAAAATTAATGTACAAAACCAAAATAACAAGCTTCAATAGCAATTAATGGCTTGGAAGCAGAGAGGTATTTTAGAAAATACCTGCAAAGTACAGAAATTTGGTTGGCACATACAGGATTTGATCTGTGCTTATACAATAAAGTTAGTTTGGGGTTAAAAAAAAAGTTCATTCAATGCAGAGTAGATTATCTTTCTGTAAAGGCAGAGTTTTTTTTCTCTCCTAATATTTAAAATACCACTGTTCATGATTCTTAAATAATATACTAAACAGGCTCAGAGCAGAAAAATCACAAACACATACCTCTCCCAGGAAGAAGATTCCATATACCATGGGTCCTCCTTCTGGAATGAGAACAATCCTGTCCTAGCAGGGTTTTTTGTTTTTATTTTTGTTTTAGAAAACATTGCTTAGTTTTTGGCAACAAACTTTCAATCAAGACTACTAGAGATGCTCAGGCAGAAAACCCCAGAGGCAGCCCAGCTATAAGTTTGCTAGTGTAAGACTTGACTCACGTGGTTATGAAAATCTCCCAACTCCAGAGAATCAAGTATGAAGACTTCTCCTCCTCACATCTTTTAAATACTGTATTCATTTTCTACTGCTGCATAACAAATCACCACGAATTCAGAGGCTTAAAACAATGCCTATTTATTATCTCACAGTTCCGCAGGCCAGAAGTCAGGGCGGGCTTGATTCAAGTTCTCTGCATAGGGTCTCACAAGGCTGGAGTCATGGGGTTGGTGGAGCTGGGCTCTCATCTGCTGGAGAAGACTCTGGCTGCAAGCTTACTCAGTTCATTAACTGATGGAGATCCTGTGTTGGTAGGGCTGTAGTTCCGGTTCCTGTGGCTGTCGATGGAGGCCTCTCTCAGCTCCTGACAGGCAACTGCATTTCTTCTCCTGTGGCCCCTCCATCTTACATCAGCGGTGGTGCCTTGAGTCCTTCTGCTTTGAATCTGACTTACGCTACCAGCCTGAGAAAACCCTGCTCACACAGTTAGATTAGCTGAACGTGATTATGGGTGATATTCATGGCTTCCACCCACACACAAAGAGGGAGGACGGCATCTATGGTACCTGAGGGTCATCTGCAGAATTTTGGCTAGTACAAACAGTGCCACTAATGAGAGCAATCGTGCCAAACATGCTGTTTCCACATTAACCAAACTTGCCTTTGAGGACAGTACTGATGGGAGACCGCCTTTTGGTGACAGTAACAGACTGAAAAGAAGCCTTCAGAACGTTGCTGAAGGTTTTGAAATAAAGACACCTGATCACTTACTGGTGCAACCAGTGACCTGAAAAGCCATACCTTTTCCAGAGACCTCTCCACGGCTGAATTAACACACACACTTCTACAGCCTGCCTGCTGAATCATCCAACACACACTCACTTTTTCCAGAGCTTTTCAATCTCACTGCCTGAAACCACTGTTCTCATCTGACGACACAGTAGGGCCTCCGCGCGTGCTGGAAAGAGCACATGAGACTTAAGAGCAGAGAACTCAGAAATCTGGGGTCTCAGAATCCCGGAAACAGTCCTCAACCTTTTTGCCTCCAATACTCGTCTGCACTGTGATATATTCTGCACATCTGCTTTTATCCTCGTAGTCAGAATTCATTCCTCTGGTTTTGCAAGTCTTCGCATTAGCACTCCTGACACAGTGCTGTCCCAACAGAACTTTCTGCAGTGACAGAAGGCTATCTGTGCTGTCCAGTCAGGGGCCACGAGCCACATGTGGCTAATGAGCACCTGAACGTAGCTAGTGTTACTGAGGCGCTAAAGGTCTTATTAATTTAAATTTACACACCCACTATGTCTACTGGCAACTGCTCAGGACAGCACAGCTTTAGAGTCTCGACAGTTTTACGTGAGATGCATACCAGATGCAAACCAGGTTTATCTCTATATGTTAATAATTAAATACTGGACACCAGAGGACAGTGTCCCCACTCACTATTCAGATACAAGTGGTTCAGTGTCCTCGGGAGGCCAAGTACATATCCTTCCCTCAGTCCCAGGTGCTCTTCACCCCCTCCACTGTTCTGTCCCCAGACGTCGCTCCCCAACTCCTCTCCAGAGTTACCCTACAGTGTCTTGCTTAAGGAAAGCAGGGCTGTTTCTCATGGCCTCAGGAGGAAGTGGGGGCAGGGAAAGACCAACAAGGAGATGATCGAAGCACAGGAAGGATGAGTTACAGGCCTGCCTGGAAGCCTGACAGGTGAGAGAACGTGTGCGCACACATAACACACACTCGCCAGGAACAACCAAAAACTCAGCAGCTGAGTGTATATGTATGTAAGTGTACGGCAAGCAACGTAGATAAAGGGAGTTAAAAAGAAAGAGGAGTGTGGGCTGGAACAGTTGGTCCCCTCGTCCAGACCTGGACGGGGGACCTGCCACGTGCCAGGCACTATTCCTGGCGCTACGAGGCACTGGTAACAATTCATGGGGAGCAGTGCACGAGAGTCTGTGAAAGGGGGTGAGATCTGGCTCCAAGTATTCTCGGGAACAGGAGGGGTGAGCGAAGCCTGGGAGGGGAGGCTGAGCAGAAGCACAGGAAGAAGCCGGCTGGTACGGCTCACCAGTCTAAAGCCCAAGCAGCCCCAAGGGCAAGGAGCTGCAGTCATGGTCACCTCCCTGATCTTCAGCGCATGCTCCTTCTCCCTAAAATCAGAGTGGGCTCCTGGGGAAGCAAGGAGAGGAGAGCACTTCTTAACCCACCCAGGGGTTTCTCTCCCGACACTCGGTGGTTCCAGCAGTCCGTAATATTCAACGGCTGCCAAAGTTTTACAATGAAAGGTTATTCTTTTCAAATGAAATTGGCCTGCAGGCATCAGGCCAAGGAAATGTAAGGACAACATAAAAAGTAAATTAAAGAAAGTGAAAAGTGAATCTAAAAAGCCCAGCAAAAATGTTTCACTAGACTTGGACATAAAAATTATTTGTGGCCATGTGTAACTTTTTGATCAAGGAAAGTAACTGATGATGATTCCAACAGGAGTAATGGAAAGAAGTGTACCCTATCCATGTTTCCCAACATTTTTCACTCCAACATACTGTACAGAAAACAAGGCTGTCTGGAAGCTCTTTGTTCAGCATCCTGGGTAACCGCGGGAGGCTCCCCCAGGCAAGAGGCAACCAGGGGGCACCTCCAGCCCCCGGAGGCCTCAGCCACTGGCTAGTCCGAGAGCTCAGGGGGTCAGTCTCTGCATATCTCTCTGGAACCCACCTGCAAGCCCCCTGATGCACTGGTTGGGAGCTGATGGTGATCATTCGGAACTTCTTAAAAGTAAAATACTTTTGTAAAGATCACTGATTGCTAAGGCTGATAGTCTTTTTGTTTACAGTAGTAATAACATTTGGAATTACATTATTAAGAGCAATAAATGCTCTTCAGATATAAATTTACCTGTAAGTTCATAAAGCCAACAGAGCAAGTCACTTTGCAAAAACATACAACTGCTACAATATCTCTCCCTAAAAACCAGTATTACCTTTTTTTCTGTAAAATTCAATGATTTTGACTCATACAATAACATCACCTGGAAAAAATTTTGTCAGAACTCACTAAATGGGTGCAGATATAAAAGGATCAACAAGAGATAATGCATCTAACTCATGGATTAAAGACACAGATTTAAAAAGAAAAAATAGTTTGTCATCTTACATATCAGAGGGAATGTAATGAGTTGAGTCCATGATAATTTGGGCTGAATGCATGACCCCTGCACATTAAAATTTATCAGACTGATTTTTTTTTTTTTTAACACCATAAACAGTATAGTAAAATAACCCTCAAGAAGGACGTTGGTCTTTAAAATCTTGGCTTTAAGGAATGACAAATGCCTTTGAAAATATTTTGTTCAGAATCACTGCAATTATAAAAGTACTTCAGTTAGGAAATCAATCTAGAATCATTCTTAAATGGCAGTGCATTTAAAAAATGGCATTCATTTTTAATGTTTGCATTTCCAAAGAAAAATATAGAAAGAAATTAAAAAAGCAAGGTAACTTTTCAAAAAAAGTATTGATTCAAAAATTTACTGCACAAAAATATGTACTTCTTAAATGTTTCTAATAAATTAACTCCATAACATTTTTATGTATATTTATATATATATATATATAATCCCTGATAATCTATAAAAGAGGGTCTATAATAGTAAAATAAATGAACTTCAAAAGTACCCCCTTCATAAAATGTATTTAACATTAATTTTTCTCAAATTTAAAGAATGTAACAATATGTACAACTCTTATGTATTAGTATAATACCAAAATAGTACAAGTCATATTAACAGGCTGTCATAACTGTAAAATGTTTGAGTCAAGTTAAAATTGGAGGACAGCTTAGGTTCGAATGAATGCAATTATCCATGGGAGCTTCACTTTCCAAGTGGAAATGACAATCATCTTATCTACAGTAGATTTCACAAGAGGTAGTGTTCAAGTTAAAAAAAAAAAAAGGTACATGCTTAACTATCTTTAATTAACAAATTCACAGGAAAAAAATGTACTGGTTTCTTAGCAGATGATCAGTTGGTGACTTTTTTAATATGAATCTGAAATACAAAATAATGAGAAGTACAATAAAGGCCTTATGCGTGAAATTAAAATGTGGTTTAAAAAAAACCACCAAAAAACCCCACAGAAAACCAACAATAACGTACCATCTAAGCTTGTATCATTGATAGCACACATTGTCTTACCTCATTAAGAATGGCCCAAACGGCAGAATTCTGAATAACTGAAAGTCGAAAGGCTGAAATGGGGTTTAGGCTAGGATCCACCATTCCTTCGGCAACACCATTCTCAAATTTTCCTTCAAAAGAAAAATCAACACGTGTTGGATAGCCTGAAATCAGCAAGCCTAATTTATCACGGACTTAAAACAGGGAAGAAAAACACCAAAACATTTCCAGTGGGTGTCGTCAAGACGGGCCTGGGTGAATTTTTCCCCTTCTTTCTACTTTTATTGAACTTTCAAATTTCTTACGAAGTGTATGTTTATATTAGAAGCACCTAATAAGAGAGGCAGAGCTATACTTCCTCTTACTGCAAATTAAACATGTGTGTGTATGTTCTTGCATCAAAAATATTTTAACATGCAGGTTTTTAATAAAATGTGACTTAACCAAACCTTACCAAAGTGTACTCTGTACCATGGCTCAGTCCAACCCTTTGAAGGTTAAGTCAGTAATAGCAAATTTCAGTGCTTTCAGACATAACATATAATGGTTGGCCTTGAGCAGGCACTCAGTCTGTATGTATCCGTTCCCATGTAACATCTAGAAGGAATTAAGAAGTGATACCTCCTCCAGGAGGGTCTAATAGAAAACTGCTATTACAAATGACAAGTTGAAAAAGCTAGGACCAAGAGGTTCTATAAAAAGGTAGCATGCTCTATATCCAATTTTTCTTGCTGTGAGGAATATTCTTAAAACAACAAAATGCAATGGAAATAGTGACAGACAAATGTTTTGTTCTTGGCCATGTTTCTCTAAGCCAGGAGCTGGCAACCCTTTTATTACACAGGGCAGATGGTAAATATTTTGAGCTTTGTGGACTAAGAGGAAAAGTAAAGATATCAGGTTAGCACTTCTACATGGGAAGATGGGAAAAAAATGTTCACAAAATTTTTATTGATGAAATTCAAATGATAAGAACCACCATGCAGGTGTACCAAGGAGAACATAATTCCTTTTAGGATGGTGCGGGGGGTGGGGGTGGTTAACATCATTCAGTTAACTAGGATTCAAAGTGATCCTCCTCATTAAAATCGATCGTAAATGTTCATCTGTTCATATGAATCCATGAAATTTTACATATTTTATCTTGACTAATTCCTTTCACACAGCCGAGGTGCTGCGAAACACATCAGTCCACTAGCACGTGATTTTACTGCAGCAAATTCATCATTGGAGGGTATTCATGGAATTCCATAAGGTTCTTCTCCCCAGTACTTGCCTTGCAAGTGTCACTATACTGCAGATGAGTCACTTTTGAGTGAAAGTCAGGTGGAAGCTTCTTGATCAGTCTGATATTGGAGCTCAAATAATCACGGTCATCAGCGGCTTGGCTGGAATAAAAGGTCTGCACGGAAGTGCTATTTTGTAATTTTAGCTTGAATAAAACGTCATCAAGTCTGCACCAAAAACTAACTTTCTAAGAGATAATAGTGGTTAAGGGCAGTCCTGGGAAAAAATTTCAATAATGTTCCTGGGCTTAAAAAAAAAGTTCTTTTTTTGTTGTTTTTTTTTTTTTTTTCATTATAAAATTGATCACAGCTAAGCCCCAGAGTTGCTGTGTGGTCCAGAAGGTCATACTGTTCAGTTTCTATTTCTGACAAAAATTCACAGAACTGATCATGGCAGAGTCCATGAGAATGAATCAAGTTCACTGATGACTGCTGCTGGTTCAATAAAATAATGATACATGACAGATTCAAGTAGTTCCTGTAAAGTACCAGATGAATAATAAAATAACCACTGGCTTTGCTCACATTTCCACAAGCTCTGTACATGTATCCAACTAAGCCTTCTTCTTCATGGATATCTTCACCACCATTCAGTGTAACACATTTCACTTCAGGTTGTACTCAATTTGTGTTTTCTCAGCTTGTTGGAAAATATTCTTGCCTGTACTTGGTTCCATGCAGACTTTTCAAAGGCCAATGCTTCGGTTACTTCAAGGTTGGCAATGACTCCTAATAACAACTAGGCAGTACCTATAACCTCTATCAACTCATCAAGAGACCAGGAAACAATATGCTTTTTTTTTTTTTATGTAAATGATAGAATTCAGCCTATTTTTTTCCTAGTGTTACCTTAGGGCAAGAAGATTCTTTAGGCTTTCTTTGTACTGCAGGTCTAGATCCAATTTCCCACATATAATTATATTTGTTATGACTTTTTGTGCACTGAAATGCCCCCAGATACTGTGCACTAGCAGGATTTCTGACCATGATCTTACAAATATCCTCATCCAAAAAGGTTCAAAATGCATTAGTGTATCTAATCCCTCACACATACAAATGGACAAAGACCAGGAAAAAAACAAAAACAAAAAAAGGAGTGTCAAGCACTTGGGAATCAACTAAGTAAAGAACATTTAGTGATAATCAGGATTAATTTTGAGGAAAACGACACTATTGGGGTTTTAGAAAGAATAAACACCTGGCATAACGAAATATTTGCAGTATTTTTTCCACCTTCTATGAAGGAAGCTGTTTTCCCAACAAGATGTGAATATCAATATAATTCTTCAAATTACAATGGGGAGGAAAGCTTCAAGCACTCTAGGGCTTAAATTTATTTTCTCTTTCCAACTCCCCCCCTTTTTTTTTTAACATATCCATTTACCTATTTGTGTATATATGTTTATATTTATATATACACTTTATTATTTATTGGTACTCTATGTACTATGTATAATGTACTTATCAGTCTGACTTCAAAAAAATTCTATTTTGTCAATTAGTAATAATCTTACAATGATATACATTTAGTTGTTACCTTCCTGTCTTGTGTTCTCTTGTTTTCATGTAGTTTATCTTAAAATATGCTATAAATACCATATCACATTATTAACACTTAGGCAGTCAATGGTCTTGCTTTGTCTTCTGACTGATAGTGTTCCCAGTGTCCTCAATTCTTCAAGCAGTTGGTTGTGAGTGAAAGCTTGATGGTCTTAAGTTTATTTTATCTGCACACACATCTTTGGCTGCTCCAATTAAATACGATGTAACGTACCCTTGGTCATTGGCTTCATTTGCTTGGCTAACACCCGAGTCTCCCCGACACTCACTCTGGTTACAGCCTCATGGGCATTTATTTCTGGGAAGAAATTCTGCTGTCATGAAATACTGTCTGTGAAATCTTCTGATTTCCTGACCTCTGCTTTCCTGTGAGTTGGGAACAGCATGAGTGCTCAGGATGGCAATGTGTTCCCCAGACCAGCTGTCACATCACGGCGTAATAACCATGGCGATCTGCCATCCGATCTGATCAAATACGCCACATTTTCACGGTTAAAAAGCACTGACATTCAAAGTCCACTTTCACAGTTTTCAGCATCATGGTTAAGCACTGGTTATTATTATTATTATTATTATTTTTTTTTTAAACATCATAGGATGGTGGTGTGCGGGGACACGGTCATATCATAACTGCATTGCCACTATCTGGAGCGCCCCAGCACCACCTCCTTCTTGGCTGCAACTCTGGGCTCTTCTCTCCCGCTGGGGCGTCAGAGTGCATGGACTGCACAGAAGTAAGCGAGCACCAATAAAGTGTTCCAATAACTATTTATGGACACTGAAATCAAACCTTTTTATCATTTTTTACATGTCACAATATAAAATTTTCATTTTTTTCAAACCATTGGAAAATAAAAATGAAAAAAAAAAATTAAACATTCTAAGCAAAAACAGGAAGTAGAGGGGGGAAAAAAAAAACAAGAGGAAGAGGGCCAGAGCAGGACTGAGGCTATCTGGTGTGGAGATTATGCAGCCTAATCTAGAGTTTTACAAAATAATGATAGGCTTTTAGTAAGATATGTTCAACCTGAAAATCATACCAGAGAAAACTTGTAATATATTTTTTAGAGATTTATTTATTTATTTTAGAGAGAGAATGCACACATGTGAGCTGGGGCAGGGCAGAGGAAAAAAGACAAGTGGACTCCACACTGAGCGCAGAACCCCACGTCAGGCTCAATCCCACCACTCTGAGATCACAATCTGAGCCAGAATCAAGAGTCCTACATTTCACTAAGGCACCCAAGTGCCCCCAAGAAGACTTGTAGTATTAAACATATTTCTTATTTAAAAGTTATTAATAATCTTTTTTTTTTAAAAGATCTTACTCATTTATTTGACAGAGATCACTGAGAGGATCACAGAGAGAGCAGGCAGAGAGGCAGGCAGAGAGAGAGGAGGAAGCAGGCTCCCTGCTGAGGAGAGAGCCCGATGTGGGGCTCGATCCCAGGACCCTGAGAGATCATGACCTGAGCTGAAGGCAGAGGCTTAACCCACTGGGCCACCCAAGCGCCCCTATTAATAATCTTATTTCATGAAAGTATGTCCATGCTGGGGCTAGACTGGGGTGGGAAGTATAGGCTACAAAAAAGTATTACTGAATTATTGAGTTAGGCAGGGAACTTAGGGCTGAAAAAACTGTGAAACTTGAAACACTTTAATGAGGTATCATACTATCATCTGATGAGCTCGTTTAATTAGAAAGATAATTACCTAATGATGTAACCGGCCTCTTTGAAACACCTGCATCCAGGATGCACCTGAGTGAGGCAGTCAGCTAAGCAACCAACTCTTGGTTGTGGCTCAGGTTGTGATCTCAGGGTTGTGAGACTGAGCCCTGTGTTAGGCTCCAGGGTCTGTGGAGAATCTGCTTAAGACTCTTTCTCTCTCCCTGACCTTTCCCCCTGTGTGCATGCACACGCTCTTTAAATAGGTAAATCTTTAAAAACAAAACAAAACAACAGGGGTGCCTGGGTGACTCAGTGGGTTAAGGCTCTGCCTTCAGCTCAGGTCATGATCTCAGGGTCCTGGGATCAAGCCCCACATCGGGCTCTCTGCTCTACAGGGAGCCTGCTTCCCCCCTTCTCTCTGCCTGCCTTTCTGCCTATTTGTGATCTCTCTCTGTCAAATAAATAAATAAAATCTTTAAAAAACAACAGCAACAAAAACACTTTCACCCAGGATTTTATCCTGCAGATATACTCTCACATGTCCAAAAGACTACAAGTTGTAGCAAAAACTGCCAACAACCGTCCACCACTAGGTGACCGGCTATGTGAATTTTGATATGTTAATCCAGGGAAATACTAGGCAGCCAATTAAAAGAATGAAGAATACGAAGAATAAAGTACAACAGAAGATAATGTAGCTAAAGATCTACTTGCACTCTCAACGCAGAGACACTCTCATACATGTGCAGAATTGTTCAAACAAGCATTCTTTATAACAGGGGGAAAAAAGGAAACAAACTTTATAAGCAAACAGGAGGACAGACAGTGATATGTCCACTGTGAACATTTACACAGCAAGTAAATGAACGAGCCAAAGATACACACATCCACATGGATGAATCTCATGATGGGGAGAGAAAAGAAACTGTAGGCTACAGAAGGTTATTATTTCGCTCAGATTTAACAAGCGAAATAACACTGCGTGTTGTTCAGGAATACATCGTACATACATAGTAGAAGTGGACACACAAATGGTAACCACAAACCTTAGGACAGTAGTTCTCCTTGGGTGGAAGGGGGAAAGAAGATTATTAGGGAAGAACAACTGAACTGGCAAATCTTAAGCCAAACACACTGATGCTCATTACATTATTACTTGTATCTTCTGTGCATCTGAAATGTTACGATCTTTTGGAATGTTCCTCTTCCATATATAACACTTGTGTATCTGATCAGGGAAAAGATGCAGAACAAAGGTCGTACACCATGTTATCATTCCTGTGTGATTGTGTGTTTTTAAAGAATATACTAGTATCTCTTCATTTCTGAACAGAAAACTGGAAGGACACAAATCCTTAAAGGAACCGCCTCTGGGAAGCACTAGAGAGGACGGAAAAGAGCAGAGGAGACTGAAATTTATGTTTTCAGATATGCATTTGGTACCACGTGCCTGTACCAGCTTCCCGAAAAAGAAATTTAATTTTTGTTCTTGACCCAATGAACTGGTAGGTCCGCACTGAGAGACAGGAAAGAAGGGGGAAAGGAAGGAGGAGCTTACTGGAGAGTGACTAGAACTCCCAATTCCTGGTACTGGCCGAGACTTGCAGGGTCATGCCCTGTGGGGCTCCCCCTCCTACCGCACTCTGACCGCACACCAGTCTGTCCTTCCAGTGTTTCTCCGACAGGGCTCTTTGCCTCACAACTGGGACTGACTAGAAAGTGTCGAGAATAGAGCTCCAGTCTCACTGAGCTCAGGCAGTGTGGGGAACGCAGTGGGTCAGGTGTCTAAGGCCACAGACTCTTCATGTTCTTACTGAGATTCAGATTTTCATGAGTAATGTCTCTCCATCTGCCCTATTTTTTTGAAAATAATTTTCACCAGGTACAGCTGTTCCACTATGAGGAAGGTCTTCGAAGCTATTCCACTAAGGCATATTTAAGGGAGTGGAATTGTTTCATACTCAGTTGAAAGAAATCAGTTGCTCCTCGTTTCTGATGTACCTTTTCGTTATACAAGGTCCTAGGCTGGCTGATTTACACATTCTCTTCTGTTCTAAACATGTTTGAGCTGCTGTCTTAGATGGTCATTATCTTCAAGTTACTACTGATGGTCAATTTCCTATGCTTTCCTAATCTAGAAGACAATAGTCTCAGAAACTAAATAACGGACAAGTAATAAAGTTAATAAATGTCTTGGATATGCAGCCAACTTTTTGTACATTTCTAGACATAACCCAAATATGAAAATAATGAAACTCATCTATCCACCAAAACTACACAAAAACTAGGGTTATCACACAAACCTTGTAGCAGAAACCATGACACCAGATGTGAAAACTCTCAAGACAGTTTTCTGATTGTATCTATCCTGTTCACCTACAGTGTAAACTTACCAATATTCTCTTCTGCCTACCACTAAGAAAAGCATTACTTTTAAGAAAAAGAAAATACAGGGGCGCCTGGGTGGCTCAGTGGGTTAAGCCGCTGCCTTCGGCTCAGGTCATGATCTCAGGTCCCTGGGATCGAGTCCCGCGTCGGGCTCTCTGTTCAGCAGGGAGCCTGCTTCCCTCTCTCTCTCTCTCTCTGCCTGCCTCTCTGTCTACTTGTGATCTCTCTGTCGGATAAATGAATAAAATCTTTAAAAAAAAAAAAAAAGAAAAAGAAAAAGAAAATACATTCTCATTCACTGAGTTAACACCTATCCAGCAACAGACTGTATGTTAACTGCAAGAGATGGCCAAGGGCCATCGCCACCTGCCTTCCCGCCACGTGTGCAGGACCGCACTGTGACAGGTGACCTCGCTGTGACAGGGAACCGCCCTGTGACATGGCAAGGCCACACAGTAAAGCGCACGCAGTGTGTTAGGAAGAGCTGACAAGAGGGGCAGCTGCAGTGTTTAACAGAAAATGAGAAAGCATTCATTAGGAGAAATATCACGTAGAGAAAATGGCCAGAGGCACAGCTGCACATGAGCACAAGGAGCATGAGAGGAACAAGAGACTCAGGACAAGGGAAACTGAGAATCAAAGGAAACATGATGTGAAAGTGGATGGAAGCTAAGGAATGTGATCATGGAAAGGTGTTAAGATCTCTCCCCAGGCTAACATCGTGGTAACAGGGATGCTTTAGAAAGGCAACTGCTGGGGTTCTGGGCAAAGCGAGCGGAAGGACGCAGGGAGTGGCAGTTCTTCTCCGGCCCAGACCCAGAGGCAGAGGCCTGAGCACCAGCCCAGGGCAGGTGACTCGGCATTCCCAGATGGACATATTTTATGCTAACGGACAGTACAAAGTGGGGTGTGTGTTCAGGGTGTCTCCCAAGATTGGGTTTAGGCAACCAGGTGAATAGTGACAGCAAAAACTATGGTGACCGAAAGGTACGACCCTGGCACAGATGCTCAGAGCAAATGGCTGTGTGGCCCCGTCAGAAAGTATCTCAGGGGGCGCCCGGGCGTCTGCCTTCGGCTCAGGTCATGATCTCAGGGTCCTGGGATCGAACCCCGCATGGGGCTCCCTGCTCTGCAGGTGGCCTGCTTCTCCCTTATCCCCACCCCCTCTGCTTTGGTGCTCGCTCTTTCTCTCTCTCAAATAAATAAATAAAATCCTTAGAGAGAGAGAGAGAGAGAGAAAGCATCTCAGTACAGACCTGAAGCTCAGGAAGGAGGCAGGGGCTAAAAGGCACAGAGCTTCTGGCACACGGACGTTGCTGGGACCTTGCAAGTAGCTACCATCACCCGGTCAGAGAGGGCAGGAGGCAGCTGAAGGCAGAGGACCTAGCAGTGACTATCAACCATGAAACAGCAGGTGGGAGATAAAGAGGAACCAGCAAATGAACCTCTGATCTGAAATCCTGGTTGGGTCAGACAATTAAAGTATGAAACATGAGAACACACACAACTTGGGAGGACATTGGTAACTATAACCCTAAAGTGCTTAACATCCAACGAGAAGTTATAATTACTTAGGAGTTAGTCCAGAAAAGTCAAGGACATTCTACTAGGTTAAAGTAGGAGGTATTACCTATTCTGAAATAACCATCTTCTAATCGTTTGTCTTTGGTTTCTTTGCTTATTTCCAAACCTTCACTCTAAAATAGAACAAAAAACATTAACTTTGCAAATTATTACTTCTATTTACAACAGATCTAATATATCTTAATAAACATAAAAATGATGTTGCGGCTCAGCTATTTCTAAAAAAGAAAAATGTCATCTCAGTCTTGAATCTTAAGAAGTTTATCAATACAAATATTCTTTTTTTTATAATATCTGAATCTATGTATCTTTCTAGATTGGTTAGAAAATTTAAATATATAAATATAAGTAAATACAGATGATACATTGATTAGAACATTTAAATTTTAATTAATTTAAATTTAAACCAATTTAATAGGGTACTATTTTTTTCATTAAAAATAAATGTTAACCATGTTAACCTGAAAGAAAACTAAGCACTACTTAAAGACCAGTAAAATTAATTTTGTGTATTAAACAACAGGGATTAAAACCACATAGCATTTTGGGACTCAAAATATAAACACCAGTTAAGCATTAAAGTAAAATGATGATTCACTTATTTTCCTAGTAGGAACTTCCAAGTTATTTTCCAACAGGAAACAAAATGGAGGCTCTATCAATAAGACAGATGGGATAATACACTAAGTGTTCCATATTTCAAAAAAAAAATTAATATTGCTCGTCACAAAGGCCCTGCAAACGAGAGAATTTGCTTTCACCTCATCAGTAAGGATAACCTCAAACCAAGTCTCCTGGTCTTAGTTCTGAAGAAGAACTAGGGGAAGAAACAGGCATACCTTTAAAGGCAAAACTTCCACAGTTGTGTTGAGCAGGATATCTCCTGGATGTTCTTGGTTGCCGCTGTGGAACAAGTAACTGAAAAGACAAACATAAAAGTATGAGTCAGACTAGACTTGATGACGATTCAGGAAGACCGCCTCACCTCACAGTGAGCTTTCCCAGCAAGGCTCGGGGTGAGCGGGGACTGCACCAGGGCGCGTAGTGAGGGCGCGTTACTGTTCCAAACAGTTGCAGGGAACCTAAAAACCCAAGGATGCAACCCTGAGGGGATGTGTTAATTCCTTCCATTGGAAGGGGCATGTGTGGTGCTTGACGTAATAATGTATTTAACAGACTTTAAAAAAAAAAAAAAAGACAGTTTTAGGCTGTGGTTCACATGGTTTTAAACGTACACTACTCTCGAAGAGTAATCGAAGCGCAGCACCTACAGAATACTACTGTATCTTGTGCCTGAGTAAATTTTCACCAGGACCACCATGAGCCATGGCAAGTTCAAAGACTAGCTTTATCCAATGCAAATAATTTCAATATTAGGAGCCTGAGAGTAAATTAACCAATTCCAAATATCTAAATAATGCCACTTATCACTATGAACAAACATCTCAATAGCAACTATGATCAATCTAAAATACTCCCTGGGTATGTGGATAATGTCCTCAGGTTCTGACACCCTGAAAACCAGTGTGTGTGTAAGTGTATGTGGGGAAAGGAAGGAGGAAGGGCGGGTGTAAAACCCAGACAGGGCATGCAAAGCATATCTAAATCTAAACTGAAAACTTAAGTTTAGGGGCGCCTGGTGGCTTAGTCTGTTAAGCGGCTGCCTTCAGTTCAAGTCATGATCCCTGAGATCGAGTCCCCACACCAGGCTCCTTGCTCAGTGGGGAGCCTGCTTCTCCTTCTCTCTCTGCCTGCCTCTCTGCCCACTTGCACTTGCTCTCTCCCTGTCAAATCAATGAATAAAATCTTAAAAAAAAAAGAAAAGATAGAAAACAACTTTAACTAAGTTAAACGGTTAAAAGTTTAGATTTAGAAAGACCTGGATCCAAATCCTAGGTCTCTCATTTAGAGAATTCTCACCTTTAGCAAGTTACATTAGCTTCCTGAGCCTGAGTTTCTTCTAAAAGTGCAGAGATTCTCACCCACCTCACGGGACTGTAGCACGTTTATGAGTTTATGAGAACTGACAAAATACCCTGCCTATTCAAAGTACTGCAAGGAGCAGTGACAGGAGGCTAACGGTACAGTATGGTATTGGTGGGCAGAAATCATCTGGGATGAAGACCGGATTTTCCAGTGTTACAGAGAGAAGGGCACCCTCAGCTCCCTCTAGGCTACGCCAAAGATGAATTCCAACGTTTTCAGATGAGAGACACCTTTTTTAAAAAGACATCTTTGACTTGAAATGCTACCTGCTATAACTATGGGCCACTCATGACCTCGGCTACAGACCAATACAAAACAGAGGAAGCTACTTTTAAGAAAGGAATGATGGAAAGAATTTGCGGTTCAGACAGACTGATTCAGAGGTGTTTACTATGAGATTACAGCGGAAGAGTCAGTATGATCTACAAAGTTTAATATCAGAAGAAGTAAATGATGGTATAGCCGAGAGTGGGGAGAATGTGCAACTATTAAAATGTTTACAAGGGGCGCCTAGGTGGCTCAGTGGGTTGGGCCCCTCCCCTTCGGCTCGGGTCATGGTCTCAAAGTCCTGGGATCAAGCCCCACATCAGGCTCTCTGCTCAGCGGGGAGCCTGCTTCCCCCTCTCTCTGCCTGCCACTCTGCCTACTTGTGATCTCTCTCTGTGTCAAATAAATAAATAAAAATATCTTTAAAAAAAGGTATTAAAAAATGTTTACGAATCATTTATGACAAATTATGATGGAAAATATAAGACATAAAATTACATACAGACCATAATGGCTTTCAAAGTAGAAAGTGCCAATATGATCACAATGGTGTCTACTGGGTTGTGATTTTTTTCCCTCGTTTTTTCGTATTTTAAAATTTTTGTGTAATCAAAACATATCATAATATGTGGTCAGAAAAAATTTTCCCTACCACTTAATTTCTGCACTGATAAATACAACTTCTGCTTTACCACCCCCCCCACCAGCAAGTCCATTATTGTGCAAGTCAAAAGTGATTCCTTTTCCCTATTCTGGTGGGGGTGGGGGGCGGTCTCTCCATGAACTCTGAGAAAATTCAGATATACTCTGATTTTAAAAGAACTGTGTTTTACTTAGAAATGGCTCCTCAGTGGGATCATATACTTTATAGAAGTTTATTGTAAATACATTTGTTAACAAATCTGATCTCCAATACAGGAGTTCTTTAGCAGATTCTTTGCTGGCACAATTTTAACTTGTTAAAAATAAACCAACAGAAATGGTCTGAGACTATTCTGATTTATGGAGGTGAAAAAATTGTTTCTAATTGTATGATGACTCTTTGTTTAGAAGTCTCTGAGTATAGCTGACCCACAATGGTACATTAGCTTCAGGTGTACAACACAGTGATCCGCCATCTCTGTGTGAGTCTGAGCTCACCACAAGGGCGGCTGCCATCTGTCACTGTACAGGGCTGCTACACTGTCACTCACTGTATTCCCTATGCTGTGCCTTTTATGCCAGCAATTTACTCATTCCATCACCGGAAGCCTGTAGCTCCCTCTCCCCTTCACCATTTTGCCCAACCCCCCCAACTCCCCTCCCCTTCTGGCCACCAGTTTGTTTTCTGTATTCACAGGTCTGAGTCTGCTTTTTGTTTACTTGTGGGTTGTTTTCTTTAAGATTCCTGAGTGGAATTATGTGGTATGTGTCTTTCTCAGGCTGACTTACTTCACTTAGCTTAATACCCTCTAGGTCCATACACATTGTCACAAAAGGCAGGATCTCATCCTTTGTATGGCATATTCCCTCATGGGTACATATACCACAATCTCCTTATCTTACCTGTTTTTCTACTGATGACACTTGGGATGCTTCCCTATCATGGCTACTGTTAATCCTGCTGCAGTAAACATAGAGCTGCAAGAATCTTTTTGAAGTGGTGTTTTCCTTTCCTTTGCTAAGTACCCAGTAGTGGAATTATTGCATTATACTGTACTTCCATTTTTAATTTTTTAAGGAACGTCCATATGGTTTCCCATAGTGGTTGCACCAATTTACATTCCCACCAATTGTGCACAAGGGGCCCCCTTTCCCCACGCCCCTGCCAACACTTGTTCGTTCTTGTCATTCTGATTTTAGCCATTCTGACTGGTATAAGGAGACAGCTCATTGTTTTGACTTGCCTCTCCCTGATGCCTATCAATGCTGAGCATCCTTTCATCCATCTGTTGGGCATCTATATGTCATCTCTGGAAAAATGTGTCTTCAGGTCCTCTGCTCCATTTTTTAATCAAATCATTTGCTTTTTTGGTATTGGGTTGTATAAGTTCCTTACATATTTTGGATATTAACCCCATTTCAGATATTTATGATGACATCTTTTTTTTCAATGTAGGCTCCACACCCAGCACAGACCCCAACACAGGGCCTAAACCCCTGACTCTAAGATCAAGACCTGAGCTGAGATCAGGAGTCAGACGCTCAACCAACTGAGCTGCCCAAATGCCCCTATGATGACTCTTTTAAGTGTGGTAAATACTACTTCAAAGTGCTGAATATCATACTATCTAGTATAAAAATGAACATTAAATTTAACAACAAAATATTATATACTCATAAATGTGAAATATTACTCCAAAGTATTTTTAGGTTTTTCCAGGGATAGTCCCATTGCCCAAAACACTGTTTTTTAGTTTTAATTTTTTTAATAAACATATAATGTATTATTAGTCCCAGGGGTACAGATCTGTGAATCGCCAGGTTTACACACTTCACAGCACTCACCATATTGCCCAAAACATTTTTACACACTTAAATTCCTCTTTAGAATCAGTTTAGAGTAATAAAATAAAATCAATAACATGATAACTACGCACTATTTCTGAAAACCTTAAGTAGAATTATTCCAAATGAGTTTTGGTGGGTCTAACAACGGGACACACCTCACACAAGAACACGTGACACAATGTGCCCCAGCCTACAGAATTATGTTCCATTCGGGGATTATATTTAAGTGTACCACAGATGGTTTATAGTCTGGGGAATACACCCCAAACTGAAGAAAGGTTGGAGGAAATCATGACTGTTAAAAAACAGGCAGAAAAGAGTCCTAAATTCTGTTAAATGAACATAAATTCTGAAAAACATAAAAGGGTTATAAATTCTTCCACGGTGGTCTAAAAGCCAGCATTTGTAAAATCACTGACTAGGGATGGTCACAGTCTGTCAAAAGTATCATTTCAGCCAATTTGCTAGGTAACTGACTAGCTCTCAGTCAAACCTGAGGGATATTCTAGAATAAGGACATGAAAACTAATCTATATTTTGAGGAAGAGTTGTGCCTAAAAGTACTAAAATACTATACTAAATATTTGTTCACCGATACCAAGAATTTACCAAACATGGTAAGAGCTGATGTCCTATCTAAAAACAACACACCTATTTTACTACTGAGTTGTAGGAAAGTATTTTACCATCTAACACTTGGGACCCACCGTCTCCTCACATCAGTTATACACATAAAAAAAAAAAAATCCATCGTAAATCACACTAAGAAGAGGTGTAAAATTATAAGACCAAACAGATTTCAATAGTCACCAACCTTTCTACATTGACTGGCTTATCAAATTTGAACAAGATGTAGTCTCCGGCTACTGGGGTTATAGCCCAGAAGAAATCCTCCCCCATGTAAGTTTTCTCCAGTGTATGTCCTTGGTAGACCTTCAAAGAAGTAGATATCTCTGCAGGTGGGTTTACATGGATTTTAAGAATTAATGGTTTCATGTAATCTTTATCCTAAGAGGAGAAACACATACGCTGTTAAACATCATATAGCTTATTTATACTTAAGAAGAAGAATGATCAGTGACTAAACACGAAATAACAAACTATATGTGCATGAGGAAAATAAAATTACATCACCAACCGTGAGTTTCTGTATTTTTCCTGATAGGGAAGAATGCAGACCAACATGTTGGAAAAGCGAAGGTCTGAAGCGAATTCGTAGATTTGCTTTCTGTCTATCACAATGTTTCTAAATATTAAAAAAAAAATCATGTCAGTGTCACATTACAAAATGAAATCTTGTCCTCATCAGAAAAGCCACAAGTCCTTTTATTTTCTTTTTCCTTTTTTTAGAGACACAGTGGGGGTAGGGAGGGGCAGAAGGAGAGGGAGAGAGAGAGTTGTAAGTAGGCTCCACATCCAGCATGGAGCCTGAGACGTGGGGCTCCATCTCATAACCCTGAGATCATGACCTGAGTTGAAACCAAGAGTTGGACACTCGACCAACTGGGCTACCCAGGTGCCCCTTTCAGAAGTCCTTTTCAAGAATATTGAAAAGAAAATCCAACTTATCTCATAATTCCAAATCACAATTCTTAGGGTCCTTTTTAACACATTGAGATTTGCTACTTACTAGATAAACAGATTTAATATGAAAAAATTTTAAAATAAGCACAGCTAAGAGAAGAGTTCAGGATTTAATTTCAACCATCTTCAGGATACATCAAAATGTCCATTCGACTTTTAAAATTAAAATGCACACACTATAACCTAGAGGTTTGGTTCAAATATATAGAATGTCTTTAATTGGATGATATAATGAAGGATTTGCAAATAATAAAAGGCATATTTTGTTGCATCAAAGTTATCTGAAAATGCAAGGCAACAGCTTGACCATAAGCATTCAGTTGGTCTTCTGCAGTATTTTATCTCCTGTAGGGTTAGGTTCTAAAATGAGTCTGGGAGATGAGAATCTCTGATAGTAGAAATGAAGACCATTTAAATCCTCTATAAATTTTAGCACACAGCCCTTTGGGCCAGTTTGATCAATCTTTTCTGTCACTGCTCCTTAGGTATTTCAAGTTCCACAGTTCAAAACTCAGCACAGTTTACAGGACAACTTGTGTTTCCATCTGAAGTGCCTCCAGGTCCAGACTTCCGATGACAACCTGTCCTCACGCTTGGTCCGGGTGTAGGAAACCCAGAATGCCAGCAGGGCGCCCCCTGTGGGTTAACTCGGTACTTGAAGACAGCCTCAGCGGTCCTGTCAGGCTTTTATCAACTCTTCTCATTTTCAGGGACTTTTACAAGTTCTGGACGAAGAATGTACTTTTATTTGTAAGACATTTCCACTTGGAAAGGCCTCCAATAGTTTCCTGGGTACAAAAATGCTTAATTTTTCTCAAGAGGTTTTACTTCATTACTGTTATTACTAACACTACAGTAGAGGTAATAGAACATATTCTATTTACACAAAATTCAACTACTCAAATGGAAGGTGAGGGAAAGGAAGGGAGGAAGAGTAAAGGAGAAGAGCAAGGGGGAAGGGGGAAGAGAGGGTGGGGGAGGAAAGGGAAGAAGAGAATGACCAGTGTCTGAGACTGAGCCTTCTCAACAGGCGATGGACTCACTGGTGCCTGAAGAGTCCAATTGGGTTGATAAGCCTGTCGAATTTTCCAGCCCAGTGTCAAAGAGCTACTGTTCTGGAGGCTGCCAGCATGTGGAGACAGTTTCCCCGACATCCTAGCGGAAGCAACTGAAGAATTACATGCCACAGAAAAACATGGCCTAAGGAGCAGTGACAGAAAAGATTGATCAAACTGGCCAAAGGGCTGTGTGCTAAAATTTATAGAGGATTTAAATGGTTTTCATTTCTACTATCAGAGAGTCTCACCTCCCAGACTCATTTAGAAGCTAACCCTATAGGAGATGAAATACTGCAGAGGACCAATTGAATGCAAGTATACCGTAGGAGTGAAATGATCACCTGAATTTTCCTATGACCTACGATAAAAATGCCTGTAAATCACAAAGAAAATACAGGTCAGGACTTACATCATAAAAGTTGTTCAAATCAATTTATATGTTCAATCATTGTTGTAAAGTAGCTACTTTGCTATTTGGTTCTGTTCCATGATTTGCTCTAAGAAAGTGGTTTAAGAACAAACAAACAGACAAAAAAGATTGTAACAATAGCTTACAAACACCAGAAGGCAGTGTCCTAAAAACTAAGTGGCAGGTAGGATGATCAAACTACTCTAGATAATAAGGTCATGAAGTCAAATTAAAGGTTTGTTAGAATGAATATTAAGTCATCCCTGTAAAGACACATTCCCATAATAAAGACTTCCTGTTACTACATGTCAAAAATCACTTATTTTGGGGGGCGCCTGGGTGGCTCAGTCAGTTAAGCGCCTGCCTTCGGCTTACGTCATGATCCCAGAGTCCTGGGATTGAGTCCCGAATCAGGTTCTCTGCTCCTCAGGAGCCTGCTTCTCCCTCTGCCTCTCTCTCTCCCTCTCTCATGAATAAATAATTAAAAAAGAAAATGACTTATTTTTAAGAATGTGTATTCACATTTATGCTTACATCAAAAAAAAGAATTTTTTTTTCCAGAGGTACAATTCAAATTGGACAAGGAAAACATAGCTAATTACTTTTTATAACAAGATTTCTATGGAAATAACATGATAAGACAAAAATCATCATTGACTCATTTACCTGCTACCATCACCACAAAGGTCAGCATATGAACACTGGTATCTTGCAAGTAATATACTAAAAAGTGCTTTTTGACTTGCCACTGCTTTGGTATAAAATATCACTGCTATTTTATTTCTTATTTCCAGATGTGCTGGGCCCGATATTGTCCCCAAAGTATTTGAGAAAAGAAAAAAGACAGAGTATGAAGAAAGCTGAGGACAGATAGGAGAACATCTATAGCCCACAGTAATGAAATACCAGAGCCTAATGACACTGCTAACACTTATCAGCAACCTGAAGAAAGGTGGATTTCAGTGATTTAAGGGATTTTCCACTGTTATTTAAAAGTCCCTCTAATTTAGGGATTTTCTGTCAGTTCAAGAAAGCAAGCAAGCACTTCAAATGTCATTGCTTTCATTCAGCTATCTGGCTTCTTGAAAGTCACTTTCACAAGACGGAGAAAAGAAGCCTCTTCCCTTGGTAGAAGGTAGGGGAGGGACAATAAAGTATCCCTCAAACTGAGAAAGCACGGTTTTATTCAGGGTAACTGATGCTGTAGGGTGTGTTATGGGGGAGGGGTGGAATTGGGTGGGGTGAGGATCCAACTATGCAGTGATTCTCTACAAGATCTGGACCTTAGTCCACAGGTTTTATAGAGCAAGAGGACACACTGTAGTAAGCAAGGACCCTGGAGTGAGATCAAAGGGTTTGCAGGCACTTAACTGACAGCTAGCCCTTAATTAGATCTCACAGTACCACCTGGGTGTCAGGAAGGGGAAAGACTCTTATCTCCAACAGATACAGGGGAGATCAGAACAAACCTCTCTCCAACCCAGCCTAAGGTGGCATTTCTAAACTATGTTGTATATTAATCATCACGAGCCCTGAGCACGTGGCCCCAGGAGTGCTCATGGAATGAACATAAACAAAATGATAGGCCTAAGATGGAAGTCATGTTTGTCAGCACTCCTATATCTACCCTCATAAGAAATCAACTTACTGCGTCTTTTTCAGGGTTGCAGACTTTGACCCAGAGTATATGGTCCAAGAGCCAATCAATGGGTTTCTCCTTATAGAACATAAATATGAATTCCACGATCAGAGTGAGGTCTGGTGCTTGAAACATTTTACCTGAAAAAAAAAAAAAAACCAAAAAACATTTTCAGTCAACAGCTGTTATGAAGAAACCAAGCAACAAAATGGCTTAAATAAGTGAGATTAACAACAAATATATAAAAGCTTGTGCTTTCAAACAGAAGTCATGAAGAATAACTTCCCCACTTGTCTTGTCAAAAGCAAACAAACTTGCTTTAGCTAAACATTCTGAGTTGTCACCTGGGGATAAACAGATCTACTGAACTCCTGACTTTCTCCATTACAAAATCTATCGTTCAGCTACTGGCTCAAAGGATTCAAGAACCAAGTCAGAGACTTGGTTCATGTCTTATTAAAATTCTTCCCATTAAAAAAAAAAAAAAAAAAGGAAATTTAGGTTCTTTTAGGTTTAGGTTAAAAAAAAAAAAATTTAACCAAATCAGTAACTGCAGAAAAACAAGGTTTCCTAATTCTGTCTACAATGAAACTTTCACAAGTAAAGATGTTTTTTGATTCTTAAGTTTTGAGATAAACAACCAACAAGGTCAAAGGCCCAGCCTCTAATACTTAAAAGTTTTAAAGTACTACAGGAAGTGAAATGTTATTCTCTAAGTGTTTTTCTAAAACCTGTAAACTTCCTGCAATTCTTCAGCTTTCAATATGTTCTTTTTAATTACAGAATTTAGGGATTTTAGTGGAAAAAAATATTTTAAATGAGCACCTTAATTAGTCTATGAAAGCAACAAATGAATACAAATTAATCCCTGAACAAGAACTTCAAGGACTATATCAAACACCAGGAATTCATACTAGAAAACATTTAGTGTGGCATTCTTTTTAAAAGAACCCCAATCCTACTAGAGCTCTGGGCACTAAAAGAGCAACTAGAGGGGTCAGAGAAGAAATCAGACATGCTCGGGACTATGGCTGGCCCTGTGTGTGTACTCCACAGTAAATACTGCAATCTCAGAAGTATCCAAATATTATTTTGGGTTGACTTTCATCATTTCACATGCAGAAGGTTACCTAAAATTCAATTTCCTCAAAAGCAATCCATTTCCAGGAGAAAAAAGACAATTTTAAGGTAAAAGAAATTAGTTTAAGATTCTAAGAGTCACAGTTATTTCTGAAAAGTAGCTAAATCTGACACTATTCTTACCAATGAAGCCCAGCTGGGAGAACTCGAGTATCATCCATTCTTCAGAAGAAAGTTGAAGTGCAAAATTTTTTATAGTGTTGAAGTAATTTTGTTTGACAATAATATCATCTTCAAGCTAAAGAAAGTTGAATAATCAAATTAATAAATCAGAGATGAAAAGATTCAGATAAAAGGACATTCTTTATTATAAGAAAATTCAAGCATACTTCATAATGCAAATCAAAAAATGGTCAAAAATGATGAAAATATAGAAATAAAATTTTTTGAAAGAAAATGAGGAAAACAAAAGGAAGAGGCACACAGCAAGTCACCTGAACCACTCCCTTACTGTGGGAAATCAGTCCACTCCATGAATACCCTTTTTTGGTCCCTTCATAGTGCCCAACATGATTTCACACTACCCTTTTTACTTTTCAAAGGAAAATAATTTTTATAAGCCTTTAAATTTTTAAAAAATTTTTACATAATACATGTACTAAGTCAAAAAGCCAGTAGCTTTCCTTCTCTGCCCTCCAGCCTGCCAGCTGTGGTACCCAATGTTAAAAGTTGGGTGGGTGGGCGCCTGGGTGGCTCAGTTGGTTAAGCAACTGCTTTCAGCTCAGGTCATGATTCCAGAGTCCCGGGATCGAGTCCCTCTTCAGACTCCCAGCTCCACAGGGAGTCTGCTTCTCCCTCTGACGCCTCCCCTCTCATGCTCTCTCTCTCTCTCTCTCTCAAATGGATAAATAAAATCTTTAAAAAACTAAAAAAATAAAAAAAAAAAAGTTGGGTGGGCATCCATTTGATGCCTTCTATAGGGCCATACAGCACAAAAAGACCCATCTGTACTCAGGTTCCCATTCCCATTTACATTTCTGTAAATAAGGGATCTTATTACCACACTGTCTTCTTTTCCTCTTACTATATCATGAATATATTTCCAGGCTAATAAATATTTAGTAGATGCTTAATATTCCATACTATCAACTTTAAACAATTCAGTCAACTCTTCCCTCATTGTACACATACATCCAGGCTGTTTCTCATTTCTTGTCAATGCAAACAATGATGCAATAAATCTGCTTATATTTACGTATTAGTGCTTTTCATTTCTGTAGGACAGATTCCGGAAAGTTCACTTTTGAAATTTTAAAAGCTATTTTTAGGGGCCCCTGGGTGGCTGAGCTGGTTAAGTGTCTGACTCTAATTTCAGCTCAGGTCACAGTCTCAGGATTATGAGATCGAGCCCCGCATCAGGCTGTGCTCAGCGGGGGTAGTCTGTTTGAGAGTCTCCCTCCCCCTTCCTCTGCCCCTCTCCCTGCTCTCTCTCCCTCTCTCTAAAATAAATATCCTGTTAAGCAATATAAACAAATAAATGATATCATCAAGATACTTAAGAAACTGTGGCAATTCAGAGTGCCAGTTAACCCCCTATGCTCTGCCGGCACCACGTGTTATTTATGCTTGGAATTTTTACCAATTCAACCCGGAGCTGACAAAGATCAGGGACTAAGTACATGCATAAGACTTCCTCCCCAGGATCTCCTCTCATAAAATTTCCAAGTCACAAGGTGATTTTAATACCCTAAAAATTTTTTTCCTATTCTTAATTTCATGTTCTCACTTCTAGCTACCTGGGCTAAGCAATTTTCACTTATTTTTATACGTAAATTTTTTCATGTATTTAAATCCTACAAGCTTTCTTTGCCTTACCCTGTGAAGAAATAGTAGTAGTATTTGGAAAGACAGGACAGGACCCACCAAATATTTTACTGAGCCTTCTACTGTGTACTAACCCTAGAGAATACACTGGCGAAAACATGTTCTATGCCTCCAGAGCTTTAGGGAAGCTGGAGGGGAAACTAGACAAAGCACAGAACTACACTGACACCTTACTTTCCTCTGAAAGAAGAGGGGCCCATGCTCAAACCTAAACACCAAAGCCCAAAGCCAAGATGATCCCTAGTGTCAGGCAGCTACAAACTTTTCTGATAGGTAACTTCAAAAATAAGATGGGGACTAATTACATGCACAGAGATGTAGATGAAATAGTCAAAGGCCTATTTAAAAGTTGGTACACTCATTCTGGTTGCCAACTCACATTTTACATTCAATTAGGAAAACTGCTTTGTTCTACTCTCACGTCTCATCGAACAACTTCACTTTTACTTCTGGGCTCTCTATTCTGTTCCATTGGTCCATGTGTCTGTCTTTGAGCTTGAACCATAATGTTTTCATTCCTACGCTTTCTGGTCTCAGGTAGCTTGAAGTCTGGGATTGTGGTACCTCCAGCTTTGCTGTTCTTTCTCACAGTTGCTTTTGGCTACTCAGGGTCTTTTGTGGGTCCATGCAAATTTTAGTATTATTTGTTCGAGTTCTGGGGGAAACGCTGTTGGTATTTGATAGGGATTGCACTGTAGGTTGCTTTGGGCTGTATAGACACTCTAACAATACTAATTCCTCCGCTCCATGAGCATGGGATATCTTTCCATTTGTTTGTATCATCTTTAAGTTCTTTCATCACTGTCTTAGTTTTCAGAGGACATGTTTTCGTCTCCTTGGTTAGAGTTTAACCTTAGGTATTTTATTCTTTTTTGGTGCAAATGGAAGCCGACTGTTTTCTTTAATTCCTTCTCCTGCTACTTTGTTATTAGTGTACAGAAATCCAACAGATTTCTGTATATAAGCAACTTCACTTTTTAAAAAACTTGGTAACTGTAGATTCCTATGTGGCTCTAAGACAAAATATAGAGATCCCTAATACCTTTCACCCAGTTTTCCCCAATCTAACATCCTCTAGTGTAACTGCACTACACTTGACTGACCGTATAATTGACTGATCTTATTAAATTTCACCAGTCTTATAGCATTCAGGTGTGTTAGGGGTGTGTCTGTGTGTGCGTGTATATTTAGTTCCATGTAATTTTCAGAGAGAGAACAATTCCATCATGAGCATTCTTCTGCTACTCTACTCCTTAGATCGAAAGCCACCTCCTCCCTTCCGCACTTTCAGTATCCAGTAACCAACAGCCTGTTCTCATTTCCACAATCCTGTGATTTCAAAAATGCCATACAAATAGAATCATACAGTACGTAAGCTTTCAAGATCGGATTTTAAAGTCCCCACAGTTCCCTCACACAAACTGTTGTGTGTATCCACAGTTTGTTTCTTTTCATTATTCCATGTCTGTGGTAGAGATATGTCACCTGAAGAACATCTGGCTTATTTCCAGGTTTTGGTTAGCACAAATAAAGCTGCTATGAACCCTTAGGTACAGGATTTTTAGGAACATATGTGCTTCTATAACATAGGTGTTTTGGCATGGCAAGAGCCGATCTCGAACTAAAATCTTACAACTCACTAGTGATTACTAGTTCACAGAGGGAAGATAAAAAACAAGATGTAAAATACTGTTTTTATAACATGCAAATGTGCTATCAGAAACCAAGCATTATATATTAGAATATATATGGAAGACTTTATATATTACATTTTGGCTTAATTTTTTTTTTAAGTACAAAGAGAAATTAAAAAAAAAAAAAAAACTAGGGGTGCCTGGGTGGCTCAGTCTGTTAAGGGTCTGCCTTCTGCTCAGGCATGATCTCAGGTCCTAGGATGGAGCCCCGCATTGGGCTCCCTACTCAGAGGGCAGTCCACTTCTCCTTCTCCTGCCACACACCCTGCCCCACCCCACGCTCACTCTCTCAAATAAAATCTTAAAAAAAGAAAGAAAGAGAGAGAGAGAGAGAGAGAGAAAGAAAGAAAGAAGAAAGAAAGAGAAAAAAAAAACTAATGGTGGTTATCCATAAGGAAGGGAGAAAACAGAGTGATGGGAATGAAAGTGAGACTTCTGTATATCTTAGTTTATGCAATTCTGACTTTGGAATTTTTTTTTAATTACTAAAAAGGATAAAAATTCCTAAAAACTGAATATGAAATGAAACAATTAAACCAAGTTTCATATCAATTTGGCAGCATAGTCAAAGAGTATAAAGAATTTCTTCCAGTGGCTTTCAAACACAGAATTTTTACTATATATCCATATTAGGATAGTCTAAGGAGGGAAAAAAAGGACAAAGAAAATTTAAATAGCATTCAGCAGTCTAAGAGTTAGTAGTGATACTGGTATGACTATTTTGAAACTATTTCAGACATACTGTAGAATAAGAGAATTATGTTAATAGGATAATGTTATTAAAAACCAAGACTTTTAATGTTATTAAAAACAAAGGCCTAAAATCTTCATTAGACTTGGGGCTATCAATATGAGATTGTAGTTTTCCCCCTAAGAAATACAATACTCTTTTCTTTGCTAAAAGGCCTAGAAGCAACGACATCTTAAGAGCAATGAGCATCTCATGCACCCAGACTGTGGTCCTAAATACTATTTGCTTCTACAAAGAACAAGACTCCTTAAGAGAAATGACTGATTCTAGGAAATGTGCAAATCTTGTGCCAATCAGCAAAGAAGTGATCAAAGATTGCTGGACTTACATGGATGGAATATAAGAACCAATTTTTTTTTTTTTAGATGTTATTTTTTTGACAGAGAGATATTGCAAGAGAGACAAAGCACAAGGAATGGGGGTGGCAGGCAGAAGGAGAAACAAGACCTCTGCTGAGCAGGGAGCCCGATGTACTCTGGGATCATGACCTGAGCTGAAGGCAGACGCCTAACCAACTGAGCCACCCAGGCGTCCCATGAGCCAACGTGAAGAGATTCCCACTGGTTTCTGATGTACCAATCGTAAATAATGATTGCAAGGACTGAGGCAAATCAAATCTATTTTAAAAATCCGTGAGTTCACAATAATGTTTTTTAAATGACCACCACTGGAGATTTCTCAGATACCAACTTTAGAAAAATTAATGAAAAGAAAGGATAGGCATTTATTCTGCCTTTCCTTAGTGAACTGTTTTTTAAGGTAACCAAACAGACAAGGAGGGAAAGTTCTTTACACAAGAACTCAGCTTCTAAGAACATTGCAAGTTACAGAATTAGAAAATTATCACTTGGCCACCTCTAAGGAAATGACTTATCTGGGGAAAAATAGTCAATGATTTCAGAAATCACAGGGGGAGTGGCTGCTGGGGAGCTTTACATAGAGGAGAGATGAGGCTGGCCACCAAGCCCACTGATTTAATGTCAGCATCACTACAGCCGGGACAACCGCACGAAATGGGCATTGTGACACGATTCGGTAGGAAACACCCAACAGCATTCTAGAAGACACTCTTCAATTCCAAGTCAGCTGTGATACAGCACTTTACCAAAGTGTGAGATTCTGTGACGGGAAACTTCATTCCAAGCCATAAACATAACATTAGAACAGGTAGGCTTTTTTTTTTCCCTCCTTTAGGAATATGCCTGTGCTGACCATAGAGTTGGCTGCCTTTTTAAAAGCACTCTCTCAAAGTCCTGGGTAGGCTACATCCCAGCAGACGCAACACGAAGACACACACCTAGCATAATTATCAAGTCTGTACTAAATCCCTTTGCTTCCTCACACTAATTCTCCCCCATTTTGCTGGGTGAACTCTATCCTTCACAAATAGTTAAAACCAATATTAAACTGAGGACTTTTCAGGCTAATCTGTTTTTCCCACTTTGTAGCTCATAATGAACTCAATGAGAGAATTCTATAAATCATGTGAAGACTTCAATACGAAGCAACTCCTTTTTGGAGGCATAATTTTTGAGAAAATTAGGCAATTACAGGGATGTTCACTGGATTCATCTGTGACACAACTAAAGAGTTGGGAATAATCTCAATGACCAAGAATAAGGTCATTATGATATCTGAATAATGATACTTCAATAAGTGATTAAAAAGTATTCCTACCTGTAATCACTGGCTTGTTAAGGTGCCTACTGTAAGTGAAACAACAGTACAACAGGCCATGAGACAGGAGGTACAGTATGATCTTATTCTTGCAAAAAAAGAGTTGTATTAAATGAATAAGTATGTGTAAAGCCCAAGTTGGAAAGAAAAATGTACAACGTGTGAAGTGTGTCTTAAGTGTCAGCTCATAGCTACTGTGGTTCTAACACCACATATACACACCCTGCTTAACCAAAGTTTTCTTTATCCTTTTTTTTTTTTTTTTAAGATTTCAAGAGAGAATGGGAGAGGAAGCACAAGCAGGCGGAGCAGCAGGCAGGGGAGAATCAGACTCCCAGCTGAGCAAGGAGCCCAACATGGGACTCTATCCCAGGACTCTGGGATCATGACCTGAGTCGAAGACAGATGCTTAACGGACTGAGCCACCCAGGCACCCCTGCCTTATCCTCTTTCTTCACCCTATCCTTTTGTTAACTTCCTAAACACTTACTTTTTTTATACTCCACGTACACAAAAAAAAAAGCTTTAAGAGTCTATGAATTCTATGGTTAGAGATAAATTTAAAACCCATTTTAAAAGCAACGTAACTACACTTTTAAATGCTCTCTATAAAGTTCTTGACCATCATGTAAATATACAGAGGCCCTAGAACAAACAGCAAGATTCAACTACAATAATATGGGGCACATGAAATAAAATGTTTTGAAGCTATTATCTTAAAATTAAAGTAAGACTTCTCTAAGACATTTAAAGGATACCATGTTTTTATACTCCTAACTCTTGTATACACAATGTTATATTCTGACCCTATCATCATTAACATTTCCCAAACTGAGAACCAAGAAAGGGTGCCTGCACATTTGAATGCACGTGGCCCAACATAAAATGTCCAAGGAGACAAAGTCTGTGCTCCATAAAAGACTGCCCTACCACGGAAAAGCAGGCTTCTCTTTCTTTCCTTCCCTCTCAAACCCCTGCCAGCAGTTGCAAAACCATTTACTTCCTTTCTGATTCAGGGACCCAGAGCCTCTTCTTGCAACTCTCATCAAAACCTCCTTTCAGAGAAAGATCTAATAAACGTTTTAATACTAAAAAAACAAACAAACAAACAAACAAAAAGTAACTGACAGGCTTAGTGTGCTTCGCCACTCAGGGGTATCTGCATTTTGAACAAGGAATAAAGACGAAATAAAGATGAAATTCCAACTGTAAAATTTAAGCTTAAGTCACTAAGGAAAATGAGATTTGGAAGAAACAAGAACCTCCTGCAATTATTTAAGTTGTTGCCTACCTGGCTAACTTAAAAGCCGTATCATTACAGACTTAGTCTCTGAGCCACGCTGCTAAAAGCTGGACCATTACAGCTAAACGTCAGTTTTACTATCTTCAATATAAATGTTCATGTATTGTACCATTAAAAAAAAAAAGAAGAAGAAGAAAGAAAACTGTATTACTGTAAGATCAACAAAAAAAACTATCAGAAAATCTGGGTTCCTGGGTGACTCAGTTGTTAAGTGTCTGCCTTTGGCTCAGGTCATGATCCCAGGGTCCTGGGATGGAGCCCCACTTTGGGCTCCCTGCTCAGTGTTCCCACTCTCCCTGCTTGAGTTCCCTCTCTCACTGTCTCTCTGTCAACTAAATAAATAAATAAATCTTAAAAAAAAAAAACAAAAACCTATCAAAAAATCCTTTAAAGTTTGCCAAGTAATTAAACCTTAGCTCTTTTTAACAGGGGAGAGAGGGAGAATGAGAGCAAAGATGGAGGGATAGGAGAAGAGGAAAGAGATGAGTGACCTGCCCACCATCACACTATTAAGTGGAAAGCTAGTGTTTGTGCTAAACCAGAGAATGGAACAGCAGAGCCCACATTGTCAGTGACTGTGACTATGACAGACCCTTCTGCTCTCTGATATACTGTTATAATCTTATACATCTTAGAAGGCTTACACTTTCAAAACTTCCTGTTTTAATGAACATATATTCTGGATATTACTTTTTCCTTAAAAGTGTGAAAAAACATTACAGGACAAACCATACTTACCTGAATGTAATATATTCCCTTTTCCTGAGCATACATCATTAGAAAACAATAATCTAGGTTTTGCTTTGTTCTCCATCTAAAATAAAAATTTTCAGAAATGAGTTAGGAATCAGACTCAAATTCAGCAAAATAAGATTCAATGTAAATATTTTATAATGTCTACTACATGTTATATTTTATAATATATATACATACATTGCATACACACAGTAGACAATATATACAAGATATCTGTCGACCCACAGATACCTGTGTATCTATATATGTACACATAGGATACACCCATGTAGGAGAGCATGAAAGAGAATTCACTTTTCTCTAACGAAACCTTTATCAAAACACTAATCATCAAGATGTCCTGAGGAAAAAAGGAGTCTAATGTCAAGTAAATTTGCAAATCATATATATCCCCCTTCTGGAGACATATTCATATATCACAGGCACAGAAACATCCAACAGTAAATAGATTTGTTGAATAAAAAACTTTCAGTCTATTATTTTCCAAACTCCTTCGACTGAAGACCCTTTTTTCAAATGTAATATCTTAGTGTTTCTGGGAAATGGTGCTTCAAGAACTATACTTTGAGGACCACTGCTTTGCATGAAGGCAGAAATTAATAAAATATTGTACTGAATGCTCGGGACGCCTGGGTGGCTCAGTTGGTTAAGCAGCTGCCTTCGGCTCAGGTCATGATCCCAGCGTCCTGGGATCGAGTCCCACATCGGGCTCCTTGCTCGGCAGGGAGCCTGCTTCTCCCTCTGCCTCTGCCTGCCATTCTGTCTGCCTGTGCTTGCTCTCTCTCCCTCTCTCTCTGACAAATAAATAAAATCTTAAAAAAAAAAAAAATATTGTACTGAATGCTTAAAAAACCCAAAACACATTTAAGTTTACATTATTAAGTCCTTTCAGGGAATTCCTAGTAACCTACAGAAACAGACTAACGCTGAATAAGAGAAGTAGTTGTAAAAACAAGTTAAAAAACAAAAAACAAACAAAAAAAGGGTTTTAATCATACAAAGTAAACTTCTCCAGAATATACCTTGGAAGTTGTTCTGAATTTAATGAGACCACCTAGAATTTACCAGAACCATTCCCAAATTCTTAGAACTAAAATATTTCTTGAGAGACAACTGATTAGAGGGTTATATCCGTCTTTCAGACAAATTAACAACTCAAGAAATATTATCTCTTCCCAAAACATGATTTTTTCCTTTTTTCTGGTGACATAAAATTCGAAACTAATGTTAGTATCTCTTAGATTACATTGTTTTTAATAACAATACAATAAAAGTTTTCAGTCCTTCAATTTTAGAGATTTAGAGACAAATCTGGTTGACTGGATTTTTATATTATTACAATATAATTCTGCAAAACAGTAATATTGTTTTTATCACTTCCACTGAATCAGTACTCATTTACTTTGCATACAGATGTTAGGTTTCTCTCTGAACTAGCTTTTGCATTATTCTGAATATATCTTAAGTCATAACCCACAGAACAGCAGTTATAAAAGTTATAGAATGGAGTGGCTGAGTGGTTCCGTGATTAAGTGTCTGCCCTCAGCTCAGGTCATCATCCTGGGGTCCTGGGATTGAGTCCCTGCATCAGGCTCCCTGCTCAGTGGGGAGCCTACTTCTCCCTCTCCCTCTGCCACTCCCCACAGCTTGTATGTGCACACGCTCTCTCTCTCTCTCTCAAATAAATAAAATCTTAAAAAAAAAGTTATTGCACAGAGCAAATTCAACCTCTCATTATAAACTGCATATTTTCCAATCAAATAACCAAAAATGCATTAGCTCTCACAAATTATCTGAGTCGTAAAATGTGTTACATTCCAGTAAATACTTATTACATGGTAAACATTTATTCCATATCATACTCACAAGAGTGAGGGATCTTAAACAACACAGGCTCACCTTACTCTTTCTTTGGAGTCTCCAAATGTCTCCTTTAAATTTGTCAGGTCAGGATAATAGCTTTCAGGAGGGGATATTATTTCCACCAAGCCAGAACTGATTTCTTTAGAAAATCTGTCATAAGAAAGATTAGCTGAGTTATTTAAGCTCTGTGGGAATTTTATCTATCTTAATGCTCAACTTAGTGTGCGTAACATAAAATACATCAGTGAGGTATACTGTTAGGGTCACTGTGTGCTCATGGAAGTAGCTCATCATCGATTTTGCCAGAAAATATGAATTTTTCGAATAACACAAAGGTTTTTTTTCTTAATAATGCTTTAAAAACAGTGTAAAAAGTGCTACTATCCCTAGAGAAGCATAGAAATCCTAAGCCAGCTGCATGTATTATATTCCTAAAAAGTATCAGAATTTTAAAAAATCAAAATGAAGGTATCACAGACAATAGAGAATTGAAGAAAAACAAACTAACGAATGTGTGTGTGTCTGTCTCATACATGGAGCAACGTCTGGAGGAAGCCGGTTGTCCTAACTGTGGGCTGTACTACTGACCTTAGCAGCAGACATCAAGGAGGGTGCTCAGTACCCTGGACACATACGAGGGTCCTCACGACAAAGAATTATCTCGCCTCCCGTGTCAATAATGCCAAGGTTGAGAAAACCCGTGATCAAGCTTTTGTGATCAGCTTGACTAACTCAAGTGTATTCCTTCCACGTTTGCATTCCCCTCATTTAGTTTTTGCAAATCTCCACAAAATCCTTGTGCAACTACCCGCATTTACACAAATGTGGTTCATGCTTCATCATACTTTTTTCTGGGCTTGGTGTTCCTACACACTGAGGAAGAAGAGAAATGACAAAAATCACAGCATAAACCCCAAAGACCTGACCATGTGGTCAAGAGGAGGAGGGGCCAATAATGAGTGCCCCGCTCCTGTATTTGAGGAATCTATACTAAATTCTGTTTATATAAAGGGCTGCCAAGAAATGGAGCACTTGAAGGAAAAACAACAACAACAAGTGCACAATTTAGTTCTGCACTCTTCATAGGTTTTTAAAAAGTTTCTGGTTTCAGCATTTTGATAGACAAGGTAAGAACCGCAGTATTTTAAATCTAGGGTTGACAAATAATTGTTGCTTCCTTTTGGCTTTTTAAGTAAAAGATACATCTTTAGGGCTAAAATAGGTAAAAGTCAGTGAAGAAACCCATATCATGACGAGTTTTTATGGTATCACTATTAATAAAACTATGAAGGCAGTGTTAACGAAAACTAATATCAGAAACTTATTAAGCTTTCCCCATTAGCTGCTAAGTGCTTGCTCACAGTAAACTGTTACTCAGTCTTCGCAGAAGAGAACAGATTTAGCCATAGTTTAGCACTGAGGTTTGGAACTACTACAACTACAATAAGCTACAACCACTACAAGACTATCCACCCTGATAGCAGAGTGTTTTTTTGGTCAACTGAGGGTGAAAGACATAAGTAATCTTGTATGATCCTCTCTATGGTCTTTAAGATCAATAATTCATTGACAGAGTTACATACGTATGGCATTCAAATCTTTTCTATACTGAAATACACCAATTCGTCCATGATCAGAAAACCGTATATCCACCTACTTTTTGACAACATAAAAGACCAATGATAGTGACCCAATGAACACTAAACACAGAGAAATGAACTATAAAAGAGACGTTTTCTTTTAGCAAAAAGCCAGTAAGTAACAGTAACTAAAATATTATCATTTTCATAATTAAGAACTTACTCTTTCTCCAAGTTGGCTACAACACTGTGTACATAATCACTATCTGTCTGGGAAAAGAAAAAAAAATTACACATACATCACTGTTTTTAAATTTTTAACTTTTAATACTGAATTCAAATAAATAATTACAACATAAAGGAAAGCATGGCATCTAATTTTGAGACATGGATTTGCATTTCTGTATTCTATTTTATTGAGCTACAATATATCATGGAGTACTTACTAATACAATAAACAGAGGTCAGTTTTTATTACGTTCAGTGGTCTCTGATTCAGCAGAAAAAACGGTACAGAAACTATTTTTGCTTCTTCTGAAACACCCAAACTATAAGCAGTGAGTTAATCACAGATGCACCACGCTAGAGGGAAAGATTTCTCCACATACAATCCTAAAACCTAGGTTCAAGATCTGTCTCCGTAGCTACTTGGCCTGTATTAAGTGAAAGTAAGTCACTTTCGTGAGCCCACCTTTCCTATCCTATTTAAAAAAAAAAAAAAAAAAGGCAGGAGGAAAAAACACCTTAGAGACTATGACACTTAATGCTGAAACCACTAATAAAAAGCTGTTGTTGTCTGTATTCTTCTTATCATCATTATTATTAGGCTGATAATGAGAACCCAAGTCAAAAGCACTTTACCCAGAGTTAGAAATAAATGCTTATCAGACCTGTGTATTTTAAAATTATATACAAACAGGGGTGCCTGGATGGTTCAGCTGGTTAAACCTCTTGATTTTGGCTCAGGTCACAATTTCAGGGTCCTGGAATCAAGCTCTGCTTTGGGCTCTGTGCTGGGTGTGGAGCCTGCTTAGAATTCCCGTCTCCCTCTCCTTCTGCCCCTCCCCACCACTTGTGCAGTCTATCTCAATCAATCACTCAATCAATAAATTATATACAAATAGAGATCTAATACTCCCTACCAATTTTAAATACATTCTCAGATTATATTAAAATGCTCAATTGTCAAAGGAATCAATGACCCATAAAATATGATCTAGGATATAGAGACTGCCAAACACTTAATACTGGAGAAAAACAAACGGAAAAAAAAGATTAAGCTTAACCCTGGAAATTATAAAACTATTAAGCTATAAAAAGTTGTATAAAGGGTTTTCTGGAAAAGTATTTTACCTTTAATTTCTGTTAACTGAAAGTGATTTCTATTTTTATTATTAAACTTAAAGATTGAGGAGTGAGGCAGTAACACCACATCCTTCAAACTCTTAACAGCTACGGAGATAAAATGGGCACATAACTCAAACCCCTCCGTATTCTTCCCACATAAACCCAAACATTAGTCAGTGATCTCTCTTTTAATAAATTATTCACAGACATGTGTAACCAATGAGTATCTTACCACTCATCAGCTCTAATTTTGGAGAATATGATAAGAATTGGTTTATACAAATTTTAATGTTTAAGCAACAACCTGATATGCAATATGACAAGCATTTATGAAGGGCCACTGATTTGCCAAGCCAAGGGAAAAGGAATACAGAGATGAACAAGACCGGTTCCCTCTCCCCAACAGGCTATTCAAGAGGTGGGCTAAGATGAGTGGACGCAAGTGCAGATTTATTGTGTAATACGCAATAAAAAGTATGGAAGTTAAGTGAACCACATCTAATATCTAATTACACGGAATCCTTATTTTGCATGCTAACTGACATAACTTGCAAAAGATTTGCTTAAATGCCTGTTAACTGGTGTCACTTTTCTACAAGAGAGTCCATCCTTTCTGGTACCAGCTAAGGAAACCGTGCTGGGAAGCCTCTGAAGAAAGCTCTTGCCCACTTGACCTCTAGAGGGCCGGCCAGCCGGGCTTTATATCCACAGGGCCGCTCCCTGCCTCTCCCCTGTAAAGGAAACCATCTACATTGCACAGTACATTGCGCAGTAAAGGAAACCACTTACAGAAAAGGAACACAATGAAAAGGCAACCTACAGAATGGGAGGAGATACCTGTAATGGTGGCTATCCAAAATACATGGAGAACTGACAACTCTAACAAAAACCTCAAAAACCTGACTTAAACGGGGGCAGAAGATCTGAATAGACATTTTCTCCAAAGAAGACACACACACAGGCACAAGAAAAGATGCTCCCTATCACAATTATCGGGGGAATGCAAATCAAAACAGCAATGAAATACCACCTCCAACCAGTCAGAACGGCTAGTATCAAAAAGACAAGAAACAACAAGTGTTGGCAGAAGAAAAGGAAACCCTGGTACCCTGTTGGTGGGCAAATAAGTCAGTGCAGCCTCCTCTGGTAAACAGTATGGAGGGTCCACAAAAAAATTAAAATACAGCTACCAGGGGCACCTGGGTGGCTCAGTGGGTTAAGCCTCTGCCTTTGGCTCAGGTCATGATCTCAGGGTCCTGGGATCGAGCCCTGCATCGGGCTCTCTGCTCACCAGGGAGCCTGCTTCCCCCTCTCTCTCTGCCTGCCTTTCTTTCTACTTGTGATCTCTCTCTCCCTCTGTCAAATAAATAAATAAGACCTTTAAAAATAAAATAAAATAAAGTACAGCTACCATATGGTCCAGGAATGCCACTTCTGGGTATTTATCCAAAAAAACACAAAAAAACAAAACAAAACAAAACAAAACCCATAAAAGCACTAATTCGAAAAGATACTATGTATCCTGATGTTCACTGCAGCATTATTTACAATAGGCAAGATACAGAAGCAATTCAAGTGCCCACTGATGGATAAATGGACAAAGAAAATGTGATCTACAAAGTGGATTACTGTTCAGCGATAGCTAAGAATGCAATTTTGCCATTGGTGGTAACACAGGTGGACCTATAGTCAATAAGCCAGACAAAGACAAATACAATATAATTTCACTTGTATGTGGAATCTAAAAGACACAACAAATTTACAAACAGAATGAAAAGAGACTCCTAGATAGGGAGAGCTGGTGATTGTAGGGTTGGGAGGTGGTGAAAGAGGTTAAGGAGATTAAGAGGTACCAACTCCCAGTTATAAAGTAAGTAAGTTATGAAGATGTAATGTATAGCATAGGGATAGAACCCATAATATTGTAACAACTTTGTATGGTGACAGATGGTAACTAGACCTATCATGGTAATCCTTTTAAAATATATAAACATACTGAATCTCTATCTTGTACATCTGAAACTAACATAATATTGTATGTCAGTTATAATCCATTTTTTTTAAAAGTCTGAATTAGTCAATAGGCCATAAGATAGTCTCCGGAAAAGAGGTCATAAAAATAGCAACAATATCCACCACCTTAGATATTTACCTCCTAAATAACCTCTTTAGATTTTGTATCATTAGGTTGATAGCATTGTACTAGTCTTCTATATCCTTACTCATTTTTCTTTATTCATTCTATCGAGTAATGAAAGAAATTACACTTAAAATCTCAAACAAAGATTGTGGAAGAATTTGCTAACAACTCAGAAGCTCACTAATCAATGGTCTACAGACCATGACGTAGCAGAAGGCCAAGCACATATTCAGTGTGGACCAGCCCTTAGGCTGCCAACTAGTAGAAGGGATCAAGGTACCCTTTGATTCTTTGTGCTAATTCTGAGAAAAACGCCATTGTTATCTGGACAGAGGTTACACTCTATCTGTATACTGCTCTAACAGACGCCCACATACCTGGGTGTCATGAGGATGTATGTAGCATGAATACTTTGTAATGTTGACTGATGAGATTTAAGACAATTCATCTAAAAATTTAGAAATTAAAAAAAAAAAAAGCAGGCTCTTCCTCTAGCACTTTCAAGACATTGTTCCATTGTCTTGGATTTACGTAGTTTCTAACAAGAATCTACAGTAGTCTTACTCTTCTTTTTCTGTGTATAGTGTATCTTTGTTTAGGCTTCCTTCTAGACCTGCCCTTTATCTGTTTATAGCAATTTGATTATGACATACCTGACAGTGGTTTTGTGTTTATTCTGCTTGGATTTTTTTTTGACTTCCTAAATCTAAGGATTTACACTTTTCTTCAAAAAATGGAAAAATTTCAGTGATTATTCCTTCTTTCTCCTCTCCAATCTGGACTCTCATATGGTAGAGCAGTTACTATTATCTCATAGATAAATGCGGTGAATAACACTGTACTTTTTCAGTCCTTTTCTCAATATTCTTAATTTTGGGTAAATTCTACTGTCATTCTTAAATTCAATGACCTTTCCTTTGGTATCTAATCTGTTAAGATTATATAGTAAATTTTAAGTTTCAGAGATGTACTTTCCATTGCTATATGTTCTACCATTTGATTCTTTATACATCTTCCATTCCATTCCTCAGTGTGTTAAGTACTTGAAAACGTCTGTAATAGTTTTGTTGTCCTTTCCTTCCAATTCTATCACCTCTATCTCTTCTAGATTTGTTTTTATCAGCTAAATTTTCTTTTAGTTATGGTTCACTTTTTTCTTCTTGGCATGCTAGCTCTTTTTTATTTGATGACAGACATCATAAATCCTGCATTTTTGAGTGTCTTAATTTTTTTTTTTTTTTTTAAGCACTGGGCTTTATTTAAGCAGGCAGTTATCTGTGGATCAGTTGACCCCCACAGGCTTCTTTTTAGCTTTGCTGGGGTGGGGTGGGTGGGCCTCAAATGACCACTTCAAAGACAGTTTGATTCCTCTGGATTCTCCAGTAAATGTCCTGGGTGACTACCAAGGACTTGCCATTTAGGCCCATCAGAACTCAAAGTGCATGAGCAATGGCAATGTTCATTTTTCTCCCCAGACTTGTGTAGTGTATCCTGTGCACACGTGCCCCAATATAACAAGGACCCAAAGGCACTCTCATTTTCTGTGCAGCAAGTCTCCTTTCTGCAACTCCGTTCTGCAGTTTCCCCTTGCTCTCCCTGTGACTGCCCTTGTGCAGTGTGATCTGGAATGCATCTCCAGGCAGAAAGTTGGGGAAATTGTGGTATTCACTGCATTTATTTTTCTCTCTCAGGGAATCCTGTCGTGCACAGTCTGCTGTCCAATGTCCGAGAACAAAGGAATCATATTTTGTTCAGCCTTCTAGCTGCTTATAGCGGGAAAGTA